TTTGATGACAGAACAGGCCTCTAGAGCAGAGAAGAAATAAGCTTTGAAGTGTGCGATTCCTACTGTAGATATAGTGGAAGTATACTCGAGGAGTGTGGTCAGAGAACACTTCCTAAGTGTTGTCTATCTTTCTCCTCCTTGCTGCCCAGCATTCACCTGCCCAGTCCCCACCCTTTACCGTGCCAACCGCCCCCTCCATGCCGATGGTGCCAGGTTCATATCTGGGGCCTCCTCAGCCATCTGAACTTCCATTCTCATGTGTTTCAGCTCCCCATTGGACACTCAATCCTATGCAAGTGTCCCATGGGTGCCCCATGTACCACATGTAGAGAATGGAACTCCTCAGGCTTTCTTCTGTATGCTCATTCTTGTGAGTGGTTTCATCACCCAGGCCTTCCACTGGAAATCCTAGACTCACTCACTTCTTCCCTCTCCCTCACTGTTACACTTGTCTGTCTCTTGTCTTGTGATGGTATCTCTTACATATTTCTCAATCTCTGCTCTCTTGATCACCACCACTGCCTTAAAGGAGACCCTCCCATTCCTTGTCTGGGCTGCTGCAAAAGCCCTCACTGAGCTCAGGTCTATCCTCCTTTGTATCTCGAATTATAACCAGAATCCAGGTCTATCTTGCTTTATATCTCTGACTGTATCCAGAACCCAGGTCTATCCTCCTTTATATCTCTGACTGTATCCAGAACCCAGGCCTATCCTCCTTTATATCTCTGACTGTATCCAGAACCCAGGCCTATCCTCCTTTATATCTCTGACTGTATCCAGAACCCAGGTCTATCCTCCTTTATATCTCTGACTGTATCTTCCTTTCTCAGCCTATCTTCCTTTCTCAGCCACGGAACTTTAACAAAGTCACTACATTCTCAGACTCAGTGTCCTCATTTGTCACCTAGAGATGATTCTAATACCTTCCTCATGAAGCTGTCAGATCAGATGACACAATGAGTCAGTTTAAGTAGTGCTTAATAGGGTACCCAGCACACAATAGATGTTCAATAAACAGTACTGGTCATTACTGTTAGTGCCTAGTGCCTTGTGCTATCCACCTTCCAGGTAAAATTCTAAATTCAAGAGTCAGGGCTAGATTCTGACTTCTGTGGGCCCTGGGAACTTTGGCCTTCATGGGTTCCTTCCACAGTAAAAAAAATTAAAAATTATGTTGTATGACTGCACTGTTATGATTTTAAAAGAAAATCAAACCTTTTCCTGGGTCCCCAAAAATCCTGGGGCCCCTAAGCCTTATGTCTGCTGTGATGAATAGATAAATCCTCCCTGAAAGGAACATGTGCACACTCTCTTTCTCTCTCTCTCTGTCTCTCTCTTTCTTCCCTCCCTGCCTCCTTCCCTTTTACTTCTTCCTTCCTTTCTGTCTGTCTTTCTTTTGTGTGTGATTAAGTTTTTTTTCTTTTGTTCATTATTGCTTTCTTTAGGTTTCCTCTCTTCTTTCAATTACTACTTGGATTAGATACTTACCTCATTAATTATCAGCCTTTCCTCCCCTCTGCCAATATATGCATTGACAAAGTTCCTTCCAAGTATTATTTTAGCACTATCCTAAAAGTTCTATGAGTTTCATGTATCTTCTAGTGACACGCTGATAAATTACTTGACCCATGATTGTTTTAAAAGACTTTTTACATTGCCAAAATATGTGAGTTCCTTGTGGTATTTTACTAGTGGTATTTGTTTTTTTAATTGCTTTATGTTTAGAGATTATCTGTAAGATAGGGAGACTTATCTGTAGCCTGTCAATTGTTTGAGTGTCCCATATGTCCTGCTAGGGAACATGTACTTATTAAGTCAGCTGTAGGGCCCACCAGATCAAGCTTGTTAATTCCGTTGTTCAGTTCCTCTGTATTTTTGCTAAATGTTTGTCCTTCTCCTCTGTTGAGTACTCAGAGACGTGTTAATATTTCCCACTATGATTGTGCTTTTGTTGGTCTGTGTTGTAATGTGTCCATTTTTGCTGTATATAATTTGAAGCTATACCACTAGGTGCATGGTAGTTTATAATTCTTTCCAGGTTCCTGGTGGACTGTTACTTTTCCATAAGGTAATGACTGTGTTTATCCCCATAAGGCTGTTTGCTCTAAATTCTTTTATCTGATATTAAGAGAGCCACTCCACCTTTCTTTTGGTAATTGCCTGGTATATATTTTCTCTATCCATTTTCACTCTGTTTCTCTCTCTCTCTCTCTCTCTCTCTCTCTCTCTCTCTCGATATTCATTGTATTAGTTTCCTGTGTTCTTTTTCTTTTCTTCCTTTCTTTTTTTTTCACTAATTGTTCACAATTTTGGTGGCTTAAAACAACAAAAGTGTATCATCTCACAGTTCTGGAGGCTAGAAAACCAACATAAAGGTTTGGCCAGGCCATGACCTCTGAAGGCTCTGGGGAAGAATCCTTTCATGCCTCTTGTAGCTTCTGGGAGTTGTGGACAGACCCTGGCATTCTGTGGCTTGCAGCTGAGCCCCCAATTTCTGTCTCCCTTGTCAAATGGCCTTCTTCCTTCTTTGTGACTATCTCTATCTCTGTGTCCAAATTGCTCTCTTCATATAAGAATATCAGCAATCTTAATTTGGTTATACAAAGACCCTATAACCAAATAGGTTCTCAAAACAGCTCTTGGGTAGACAGGGGAAACTCATGCCTTCATAATTAAAAATTACTATGAAACATTTAAGGCATAAAAAAGTTTCATGTCTATGCATATATGAGCCCTAACACTCCAGCCTTTAGTTAATGAGAAACCCCTCCTTCATCCTACCCCAGCAGATAAAGGCTCCACTCCGATTTTAACTTACCTCTGAGAGTTTCCCTTTCTTTCTTGCAAGCTGAGCTATGAATTTAAAATATTTTAAAAGTTTTTTTAAGTCAGCAGTTCTAGGTACTTTACTGGAAAGTTCTCATGTTCTTTTAGCCTTCCATCTTGCTGGAAACAGAATTGTCTATCAGAGTAGGTTTTTTTAATAGTTTTATTGAATTTTTCACATACCATATTATTCATCCACTTAAAAAGTGTACAATTTAATGAGTTTTCACTCCAGAATATTTCCATCACTCAAAATACCCCACACATGTTAGAGTTGCTCCCCATTTCTTCCCCTAGCCCCCTCAGCCCTAAGCATATGCTAATCCACTTTGTGTCTCTAAAGATTTGCATGTTCCATACATTTCATGGAAATAGAATCATACAATATGTGCTATTTGCTGACTAGCTTTGTTTACTTGGCATAATGTTTTTAAGGTTCACCCATGTTGTATGTATATAACTCTTTCATTATTTTTTATTTCCAATTATATCCCATTGTATGGATATTTCACATCTTGTTTATCACTCTTCAGTTAATGGACATTTAGTTAAATGAATTCTGCTGCTTTGAACATTTGTGTGTGAGTTTTTATGTAGGCATATCTTTCCATTTCTTTTGGGCATGTACCTAGGAGTGGACTTGCTGGGTTATATTACATATTGCATAACTGCCAAACTACTTTTCAAAGTAGCTGTAGCATTCTACACCCCCTAGTAATGTAGGGTTAAAACCTAGCACAGGTGTTTGTACTTGAAATGGGAAGAGTTCTCACAGATTTTTTGAGCATGGTGAAAGTAATGTTATTGGAATGTTTGTTGCACATTGATGTGGAACAAGAGATTAAAGACCAGGAAGCTTGTAGGAAGTGCAGGAGTAATTGAATTCTCAGCTGATGGCACCTCTATTTGGGCTGGTGGCAGGCAGAAAAGATGTCAGAGTTCCCGAAGAGTGTAGTGGACAATGGAAAAGATTCTCAGGCAGAAAAATAATGTTTACCTGAGTTAAACTCTGAGATGCTCGCTCAACCTTTGCTTTCTAATTCTGATATCATAGAAAATAAACTTCTTCTTTTAGAGAAGCAAGAAAGGGAATAACTATAAGTCTTTCCATTATGTGATAAAGGGGACCATGTGATCTGAGCAGATCTGTGGGCTTTTAATTTGCCTGGAGATGCCTTCCTGAGAGGTTGAGATCCTCCTAGGCTAGGTGGGCTGCCCACTGTGAAGGCTGAGGGAGATGTCTATGGCCCTAGTACATGCTCTTCTTGCTAGTGGCAGCAGTGAGTCTTTTGTAGATAGAGTCCTGTGGTGAGTGTGCGTGTGTGTGTGTGTGTGTGTGTGTGTGTGTGTGTACTAAGTAGCTTGGGCATTTGAAATGGCCAAATGGAATGAGAGCACTTAACAACAAAAGTTTCCTAGCTAAGTAATAAAACCTCTTATAACTCAAGGATTTAAAAGTTGCCCATCAAGCTGTTTATCGTATAATGGAACAATAGTTATAAAGCTGCCACCATCCAGGAGCTTGCAGTTGCTCAGTGAGGCCTGTGACAGGGGCTTCCTACTCTACTTGGCACAATCACTCTTTTATGGGGTTTTATCCTCTGTGATTTATTCTCAAGCATTTTGTATTCACTTTGCCATTTAGATGAAATGTAAGTAAAACCATAAGGTAAAAAACTGTGTCAGGCTGTTACACACTTTAAACTCATGATAAAATCAATCTGTATATTGTCCTCTGTTCAAATGAAGTAAAAACACCTGCATTTCGGCAGTTTCCTATTACTGACTTTTCTTGTCCCGTGTTGTATCAAGTGTCTCCTGGCCAAGCTGACGGTGGAGAGAGGCCAGCAGGCCCCAGCTCTGTCCCGTGTCCTGTGTCCTCCTCAGTTCCCGTTTCTCCTGGTCTACACACTCTCTTTTATAGGCCCCAGTTCTCAAAAACAGGGAGAGTTTTCTCACTGGCAATAGGACCTAATCCCACAACTCACAGTTGCTTTGCTCTTCCTCTCAATATAAATGTGTTCAGAGAATATTCCCGAGACTGATAAAATGAGAATATGTTTTCTTTTCCTGTGACAGATAATGGTAAAGTTTCCATTGAAGCTGCCTTTGAACTTGAATGATCCTGGTATGGTGGTTTTCAAATAATTCTTTTTTCCCCTCTTTTCTTCTAGGTTTATCCAAATCGCTTGGGCTCATTGAAGGTTATGGTGGGCGGGGCAAAGGGGGCCTTCCTGCTACCCTTTCCCCAGCTGAAGAAGAAAAAGCCAAGGGCCCCCATGAGAAATATGGCTACAATTCCTACCTCAGTGAAAAAATCTCACTGGATCGTTCCATTCCGGATTATCGACCCACCAAGTAAGTTCTGATTCAGTCATGCAGAGGAACTAACTGGATCATGCGGGTGGTGCAGGCCCAGTCTGTGACATTTTCTCATGGTACTTATAACTAGTGAGGTGGCTTTTATCTCATTCTCCTCCACAACCAATATACTGAGTACTGTCGATTATGAAATAATAGCTAAGTAAAAATTTTACATTTTTATAGAAGCCATAAACATATAGAAAGGTCTGCAATACAAAAATAATTTAAATAAAAGTAGAAATCAGTTCCGGCCAAAATGGAGGCATAGGTAGACACACTGTGCCTCCTTGCACAACCAAAACAAGGACAACAACAAAAACCAACCAGACTGACAGAAAATCAAACTGTATGGAAGTCCAACAACCAAGGAGTTAGAGAAGAAACATTCATCCAGACCGGTAGGAGGGGTGGAGATAGGCAGCTGGGTAGAGAGGACTCACGGCAAGGCAGCAGCTGGCGGACTGGGTGGTACCACATTTGTGTGCAGATAAACAGGGAGGAACAACTGAGGAGCGAGACAGACTGTGCACCCAGGTTTCCAGTGTGGTGAAATAAAGCCTCAAAACCTCTGACTGAAAACACCTGTGGGGGTTGAGGTGGCAGTGGGAGAAACTTCCAGCCTCACAGGAGAGTTTGTTGTAGAGACCCTCAGGGTCCTAGAATGTACACAAACCCACACATACAGGAATCAGCACCAGAAGGGCCCAATTTGATTATGGGTAGCAGAGGAAGTGACTGAAAATTGGCAGAGAGTGGAGCAAGCACCATTGTTCCCTCTCAGATTCATCCCCACATACAGTGTCACAACGCAGTGACTTGGGTTGCCCCACCCTGGTGAACACCTAAGGCTCTGCCCCTTACTATGTAACACGTGTGCTGAGACAAAAAAAAAAATGGCCCAAATGAAAGAACAGTTTAAATCTCCAGAAAAAATACAATTAAGTGACCAAGAGATAGCCAACCTATCAGATACAGAGTTCAAAACACTGGTTATCAGGATGCTTCAGAAACTCACTGGGTACTTCAACAGCATTAAAAAGACCCAGGCAGCAATGAAGATCACATTTTGTGAAATAAAGAAAGATCTACAGGGAACCAACAGTAATGGGAAGGAAACCAGGACTCAAATCAAGAGTTTGGAGCCAAAGGAGGAAAGAAACATTCAACCAGAAAAAAATGAAGAAACAAGAATTAAAAAAAATGAGGAGAGGCTTAGGAACCTCCAGGACATCTTTAAATGTTCCAGCATCTGAATCATAGGGGTGCCAGAAGGAGAAGAAAAACAGTAAGAAATTGAAAACTTATTTGAACAAATAATGAAGGAGAACTTCCCCAATCTGGCAAAGAAAATAGACTTTCAGGAAGTCAGGAAGCCCAGAGACTCCCAAAGAAGTTGGACCCAAGCAAGCACACACCAAGATACATAATTACATTACCCAAGATTAAAGATAAGGAGAGACTCTTAAAAGCAGCAGGACAAAAGGAGAGAGTTACCTACAAAGGAGTTCCTATAAGACTATCAGCTGATTTCTCAAAAGAAACCTTGCAGGTAAGAAGGGTCTGCAAAGAAGTATTTGAAGTCATGAAAGGCAAGGACCTCCATCTAAGATTACTCTATCCAGCAAAGCTATCATTTAGAATGGAAAGGCAGATAAAGTGCTTCCCAGATAAGGTCAAGTTAAAGGAGTTCATCATCACCCAGCCCTTATTATATGAAATGTTAAGGGGCTTATCAAAGAAAAAGAAGATAAAAAATATGAACAGTAAAATGACAACAAACTCACAGCTATTAACAACCGAACCTAAAAAACCCCTCAAAAACAAACTAAGCAAACAACTAGAACAGGAGCAGAATCACAGAATTGGAGATTACATGGAGGGTTATCAGTAGGGGAGGCAGAGGGGGAGAGAGTGGAAAAGGTACAGAGAATAAGTAGTGTAAATGGTAGGTAGAAAATGGATAGGGTGAGGTTAAGAGTAGTATGGGAAATGTAGAAGCCAAAGAACTTACATGTACAATCCATGGACATAAACTAAAGGGGAGGAATGCAGGTTGGAGGGGGTGTGCAGGGCAGAGGGGAATAAAGCAGGGAAAATGGGACAACTATATTAGCATAATCAATAAAATATATTAAAAAATATATATACACTTAAAAAAAACAGAAATCACCATGATCTCTAGAATAGCAACTGGTAAAATCTTCATATATTATCTTCAAGTCAATTTTCTCTACAGATTAAAAGCATGCGATATATTGTTTTATCTTTTTTCCATTCAACATTATTTTGTGAGCATTTCCTGATGTTATTAGTTATGATCATTATTTTCATTGTTCAGGATTTAAATTATATTTATTTTTTTATTATTATAAATGACATTTTGATGAATGTTTTTCCATTTAGGTCCTTATGTGTATTAATTTCATATTTGTTTTCTTAATCCACACTTGTTAATGTATACTTCTTAGATCACATTGTAGGAATATTTTTGGAGGCTCTAGACACATATTGTGATATTGCCCTACAGAAAGTTTATGGCAATCTCCACCCCTTTTGGAATTTTACTGGCCCTTCCCAAACTGGGTGCTACCATTTAAAAAATGTTTTGCCAGACTGATAGATTAGAAAGTACTTCCCATGATGGTTTCTGCTTATATTGTTTTGTCTGAGATTCTCACTTTTTAAACAGCTTGTTTGCCCCTTAGTTGTCTTATGGAAGGTTCTGTGTGCTCAGATTTAAGAATTATTTATTTGCTCCTTGTGAAATAGAGAAATGAAATTGCTCATAGAATCAAGATGCTAGAGGAAAACCTATTTTCTAGGCAGGAGTCCACTTTGGCATCTCAAACAGATTTTTCGTTTTCTGTAAGGTTTGTAGTGTCTCTCTTTTTCCATTCAGAGTGTGCCCTTGTTTAGAGCAGATTATTTGTTTTTCAAATGGGCTTTGTACAAATCAGTTAAGTATCCTGGTTACTGAGAAAAATAGATTTGAGATAAAGAAAATTATCTTAAATGGATTTAAAATTGCAGGATTAGCCGAGGAACCTGTTAAATCTCTCTCCCTGCCTAATAAGCATATATTCATTTGAATCACTAGGAAAACATACATCACCCTGTTGGAAGCTATTTTGTATTCCTGGACTTTTGCTCTCAAAAACATCTGGCTGTTTTCATTTTCTGGTACTCTCTGATTAGCCTTCCTTATTTGGACATTGGCAAATAAATAGAGTCATAATTTTTTTTCACTCCTATGAGAATAAAAATGCTTCCAACATGGAGCTACTGGAAACGGGTCAGTTGAACAAATATTAGTGAGTACCTATTATGTGCCAGATGTTCTTCCCCACTCTAGGGGCAGAACATCAAATAAGCTACAGGTCTTACCTACTTACTATTTGTCTAGGGAGGGAGACAGATGCGCAAGCTGATCTATTCAGCACAGTGTGGTGTATATGGTGTGTATCAGGTCAGAAATAAACACAGCTTGTGTAGGGAGGATGCGGGAAGGATTCCTGCTTAAGATATAGCCTGAGCTTAATTTTGAAGGACCAATAAAAGTTGGAAAATTGAAGAAGGGAGGGGGTAAGGGCAGACTAGGTAGGGGAACAGTAAGATCAGAGTTAGGGGTGCAAGTAAAAATGTGGTATGCTCAGGGAAGAATACATAGCTCCATTGTGCTCTGTAGTGTAGTATGGTGGCTTCAGCATACCACTTATTTCTGGTCACTCCTGAAATTTTTCTAACATAAGAATTAAGGGCTAGAGAGTGTGGCAACCTGTAAGGGACAAGTAAACAGGTGACAACAGTGGAGAAGAGTCACCTACAAAGTTTTAGAAGGTGGAAAGAGGATGGATCAAAGGTAACTGACAGCAAACTGTATGATGCTGAGACCCAACCTCCTGGGTGGAGAGTGGGTAAGAGCAGAAAAATGTAGTCTAGTTACATCTCGAAACACCAGCGGTTCTGGGTACTTCTGACGGCTGGGAGGTGGATTGGAGCAGAAGGATTGCAATTGCATCTCCAGATCCTTTCTTCAACTCTGCACACCAGAGTCTTTCATTTTCTACCTAGTGGAATATGGGAAGTTTACTTTCTAGAGAAGGTGCACTCTGGGTTTTAGTTCATAAGATGTAGCCTAGGGCAGAAGATAAGGTTCCATATTAAATGAGAACACCCTCATTGTCCTTCAAGATTTTTTTTATACCTTCATAGTAAGTGTTTGAAGAAACCACTCTGAGGAAACCACTCTGAGGAAACCATCTAGCCTAAGAAAAAGGCCAATATATCTGATACTTGGGGGTATACCCCCAAAATGATTGGGTTCTGCTCATTAACTATTATTAGTAAGTTAGGCCTGTTGTTAAAGCTCCATTCAACTACACATAGCTGTTTTACTCTAAAATAAGAAAGGAGAGAGAGGATCCCCAGACATCTCAGGAGAGTCTTTGTCATAAAAGGCCTCAGCAACAACAAAATCAGAAAACACAGTTGGAGAAAACAGAGACTACGAGCTTTAAAACTATAATTCACAACATAGAGATATCATGAAAGTTGTGTTTTATTCACAGAACAAGAGCCAAGAGCTATGTTAAAGTAATAATCAGAGAATTTTTTTTTAAAAAAACAAGCCTTGGAAGTTATAAATGAGATAGAAATAAATAATTCACTAAAAGGTTGGAAGATAACATTGAAGATAACATCTTCCATTTCTAGAAGATAGAAAAATAAAAAATAAAAATAGGAGAGAAAAGGCTTAAAAAGAATTATATCAGTCTAGTAGTTCACCATCAACTAAGAGGAATATCAAAAATGAACAGAGAAAACAGAAAGAAGAAAATCATCAAACAAATGATACAAGAAAATTTCCTGGGACTATAGAGTTTGTAGATTGGAAGGTCCTACCCAATGCCTACATGATGAATGAAAAGAAAAACAAATTAAATGCAGGTTAAGAAAATGTAAATATAAATTCTCAGAACAACGTGGATGAAGAG